AAAAAAACGATGAAGCCCACCTTAATAACATAAAAAAAGTGTTTGATAGAATATCATCGTTTGGGCTAATATCTAACTTCAATAAAAGTGTGTTCTTTAAAAACAAAGTGAGGTTCCTGGGTCATGATATTGACGCCAAGGGGATTCATGCTAATCATGACAAAATTGAAGCAATAATTAATATGCCAGAACCAAAATCAGCTGCTGAATTATCAACATTTCTGGGAATGGCTGGCTACTATAGAAAATTTTTGAATAATTTTGCAGAAATTGCCGATCCTCTATATAAGATTGTCAACAAAGAAAAATGGGCTTGGAACCTAGAACACTCTAAAAGTTTTAATGATCTTAAGAAGTTGATTAGTCTTCCACCTGCTTTGACATATTTTAACCCTGAATTACCTATAGGGATAGCCACTGACGCATCGAAATGTGGTTTAGGAGCTGTACTATTTCATACTGAAAAAGATGGTAAAGAAAAACCTATAGCTTTCGCGTCAAGAACTTTATTAAAATCCGAAATGAACTATACCAATATTGAGCGTGAGGCTCTCGCCATTATGTTCACTATAAGGAGGTTCCAGGAATACTTAATCGGCACAAAATTTACAATTATTACTGACCATAAACCTCTAGTTCACATCTTTACCAAGGGTCTTAAGGATAATAGCACCATGTCCTTAAGACTCCAGAAGTGAAATATTACATTAGGAGGATATGATTTTAATATAATGTATAAAGCCGGTAAATATAATGTTGTTCCTGATTGTCTCTCGAGATTACCACAAGAATGTCATGATGAAGCTGTTAAAAATATCACTATAATAAACGAATATGGGGATTTAACTATTAATTTTAATCAAATTCGTGACGAAACTTTAAAAGATATGGAATTAAAACAAGTCATAAATGATATTAAGAACAACAGGCCTATAATGAATAATATTTATAAAAATATTGAATTGGAATTAAGTATAATTAAGGATTGTCTTTACAAAAGCAACAGAATCATAATTCCGTCTTCTATGAGAAAAAATATACTACAGTCATTACATGAAGGTCACTTGGGAGCAGGAAAAATCAAATCCTTAGCCAAAGATTACATGGTTTCGGCAAACAAACCGTTTGAAAGGATACACATAGATTCTGCGGGTCCGTTTTACATCTATAATTATTTGAGTTGTTGTTATATTGTATTTGCTTTCTCTGATTATTGTCGCTACCTCTATAATTATAAGAATGGTAAATGTTACGATTTCCGTCACCGTATTGGATCTGTTTTCTTTGCTTATTATCATGCCATGTATTATTTCTACCATGATTAGATTGATTATTATTGTTGTAGCGATAGTTATTTATAGTTGTTATAATTATCGTGGTATCTCAAATTATTATTACCGTAATTCCTATCATTGTATCTAAAATTATTATTATAATTCCTATCTCTATTTCTATTATCATAATTATTTCTAAAATTATTATCAGGTCTAAAATAATTATTATTGTCATTTCTATTTTTATTGTTAAAGGTTTTATCTTTATCAGACTTTTTATCGTTATACATATAACTTATATAATCAACATCTGATTTATCATTGATACTATCTAATTTAATTCCTAATTCTACCATTTCATTTAAGGTTAAAGTAATATCTTTACAAAATTTATATTTTATTTTGTCATTTAAGGTAGATGTACGTAATTTTTCTTTTAATCTACTGTCGTCCGAAAAATTACATTTTTTATGCAGTTTCGATACTCTTATGTACCATTGCATGAAATTCTCACTCGAGTTCTGCTGTAATAAGTTAAATATTTATTAAAATGTTTTTATCTTGCACAGGTAAAAGGTAAGTTAACTTTTTAGTCACTATTTTAAGATCTAATATGTCGGTATCGGAACAAATTGATTTAATATTGTCAAAGACCTCGTCTGATAAATTATTAAGCAAAGTATTTATTTTAATAGAGTCCGGTAGTGTGCTGGTCGAAAAATAACTTAATATTCTGTCTAAGTAAATCTCAGTAAGTGGTCCAACCAAAATATTTCCCGTTCAATAATTCAAAACAATTAATAATTTCCTTAAGGTTCACAAATTCAAATAAAACGTCGTCACTACCCAGTATCCTTGAGTAGTGCACATCACAATTGTAAGTCAATTCAAATAGTATATCGTAAACAGAAATTTCCCAAGGAATATTAACGAGTTTGAAAGAAAACATAATGGAAATAATTTTAAAATGATTTTACCTTTTTTCTCCTTCTTTATATAGAATTTATTTGTTTCGTTTAATAATTTTTTTATTACGTGGCGAGTTTTTTTTGCCTACGGAGCACCATGAAGAGAATAAGGAAAATAACGATTATGGTGAGAGTAAGTAAAAATATATTTTTATTATTTTTTATATTCATACACACACTATATATAAATTATCTAAAAATATAAATTAGAATACATATAATCAAAACGAAAAACAAAAAGTAATAATAGGTAAGATTACAAAAATTAGATTATAAAAAAGTAAAAATATAAATTTGAATATATAACATTAGATAAAAGCAATTGTTTTTAGTATTGCCTGCCCTAAATTAATGACGGCGGTAATTGGCCATTTCGAAGGTAGCATAATCATTTGCAAATTAATTGTTTACTAGGAAGAATGATAAGATTTATCTTACTTAAGTTATATTAATAAATAAAATTTAATATCTAGGTGAAAAATCCTAAAGTAAATAAAAAGAAGGAAAGACCCTAGGAGCTTCTATAGAATTACAGTTGGGACAACTAGGGCTAAAATTAAAACTACCTTAAATAAATATGAGTGATAATAGGATATATTTTAGAAAGATCTAATTTTATATTGATACTTAGAAAAGGTTACCCTAGGGTTAACAGCGTAATATAATAAATTAGACTTATAATTTATAATATTAACGACCTCGATGTTGAATTATTAAGATGCAGTAGTTTATCAATTTATCCATGATTTGAGTTCAGATCAGAGAAAGCCAGATCCGTTCCTATCTTTTATTGAAAGAGTAAAGTTAGTACGAAAGCATAATACTTGTGTACTAAATTTAGGATTTAGAGGTATATATTTTACCTAAAATTCATTATTAGGTAAACCTGAGGTATTTTAGAGTTGAAATCTCTATATAATTTATATTATATTAAATGAATTTTAGTAATGATTTGTATGATCTTGATTATTTTTCAAAGCAAATATAGCTTACTCATATAGCAGATATAATAAATAAATAAGGAGAATTAGATAATAATAAGTATTTGACCCATAATGATAAAAGGGGGCTCGACTACTTGGGATCCAATATAGCTTAATAAAATGAATGAGCAAGCAATAAGATTTGCAGCAAATTTTCGTAAAGGGTTATAGATAAGAAGATTTTTTGAAGAGAGTAATAGAGCATATATAATTATGATTCGTATAAATAGGGCAATTACACCCCCTAGTTTATTAGGTACTCTTCGTAGAATGTTATAAACAAAGAAAATATCATTCAGGTATAATGTGGGGCGGGGTTGATAAAGGATTAGCTTCGATAAAATTAACTACACCTGTAAACAAATCAGAGCATAAGAAAATAAGTATAAAAAATAAGAATATAGGTAATATAAAACCAAAAATATCTTTATAGAAAAAAGTTTGGTGAAAAGAGATTTTAAAAGAAGAGGAAGAAATCCCTAAAAGATTATTTCTGCCCTTTAAATGTAATAAAATTAAGTGTACTATTATTAAAACTAGTAGAATATATGGTAAAATAAAATGTAGGAAAAAAATCGGTTCCTTAAATTCAGATAACTATAAGTTATCCTAAAAAGGGGATTAGCAGAGATTATATTCGTAACAACTTTTGCCGCTTAATAGGATATTTGTCCTCAGGGTAGAACATACCCTAAAAATGCTTTTATCATAGTTAGAAAGAGCAAAATTACATCTGAAGATCAAACTATATAATTCATAACAAATGACCCGTAAAACAGTCTCTGAAAAATGTGTAAATAAATAAAAATGAATAAAATACCCCTATAGAGTGGAGGTTGCGAATTAAAAACCCCTCCTAGATTTTATTTTAATAGAGATTACTATTTAAAATGATTTATTAATGTCTAAGATGTATTGTATTGAAAGAAAAAATCCTGTAATAAATTGATATAAAGAATACCTCAGTGATTGATCCTATGTTCCATCAGTAGTTAATTAGGCGGGGTGGGGAGATCAATAAAAAATTTATTAATTTCATTAAACATTTTTGATTTTTGGATAGATATTTATCATTATAATTAGAATAAGGTTCATATTAAAGTTGGGGACAAAACACATGAATACAAAAATAAAATTAATATACCTCCTATATAAGTTATTACAATAACCAAGGTAAACAAGGAGGAAGCATCAAAGTTTACCAAAACAACTGTCCCATTCTTAGAAGAACCACTATTTAGCGTTAGGGGTACTCTTCTTCTAAGTGTGGAGACAGCTGTTTTAGTAAACTTGTTAAAGGTAGTTTAAAAAAATACAAACCTTGGGGGTTCGAGATAAGATGTGTATCTCTTCCTTCAAATCTGATTAAAACTTTTGCTAAGTGTTTTTGAGGTATAAACTTATTACTTGATGGTTATAATATATAATCAAAAGGTGATAAATAATTTTAAGTTTTTTAAGGAAGGGGTGAATAGTAAGTCATTATTGAAATCTTACTCAAGTTTATAGCTTGGGCATGTTGAATTTACTATAAAATATTCCGCCTAGCGACATTTTATCACATGACACTTTATTATGCGACCCTTTATCACGACGACACTTTATCACGACGATACTTTAACGCTCAGTCATTTGATAACGCAACACTTTAGATTTCATCTCTACCCCCCCCCGCTTCCTTTTTACTAAACCATTGTTAACTGATGTCAAAATATAAAACTGTTTTCAATGAATTTTTAAAATGTCAAAATATGAGTTAATTTTATAATGCAAACCAATTTTTCTGTTAACGATTGTGAATGTTCGGCGAATGATTTAAAATTAGTATCATTTTTGAGTAGCACTTCAATGTTATTGATTGAGGTTACTAGATCGATTTGAGACAAATCTTGAATTTTGAAACTCCAATAGTTGTCCTTTGAAAGAATAATAATGATATATTTTTTAATACCTAAAAATATTAAGACGTTATATTATTTTATTTCCCCCCACCCCTCCTAATCACAATTGAAATAATCGGATATTTCATGTTATCATCATCATACTATAAGAATTAGTTAATATTTTTTTAAAATAATTATCACAAATAAATAAATGGTGAAAAAATGTTTTCAAATAAGAGATGCACCGAAAACGATATTTGATATCTATATCGGTCAGTATAGGTATAGGAAACTTTAAATTTTAATCGATTTCAATGCCGTGAGTGGCCTATATTCAAAAATTATAATTAAGTTTCATAGATTTTAAAAAGAAATTTAGTCAACAATATTTATGAACTTATAAAAAAAATTAATATAATAATTTCTAAACTGATAAAAAAAAGTGTTGTTTATCATTTATTTATTTTTTTAAATTTATTTTATATTTTACTATTCATATTACTAGTGTTGTTAAAGTAGCGCCATACTTGTTTCGGTAGCGGTATTAGCACGCTATATTTATTTTTAAATGCTAGCTTTAGCGAGCTATATTTTTAAAAGAATTTATCGACAGCGGTAGCTCGCTTATAATTTGGCAAGTAGCGAAGTAGAGCATTTTATATAATAAATACACAAAAAAATTATTAAAATATATTTATAATTTCATGATTAATTCTAAAATCATAATCTTTTTATTTTGTTTAATTTTGAAATTTATATTTAAAAATATGTATTATAAATCTAGCTTTTAATAATTTTTATGTCGACAATAGAGATTGATATTTAAGGCAATTTTGGTACAGACCATATCAACAAAAAATTTCCCTGGAAAATGATGATAATATGGAGTTTCCCTTTCCCAAAATATTTTAATCTCGATAAAAAAAATAAACGTAAGGTATAAATTTCATTATAAGATGTGCCAGAAGTTTTATCATCAACTAAAATTAATAGCTTCAACTTGAGAAAACATTTAAAGGTTATATATCAAACAAATTTAATATCAATGTGTAACCTAATCCTTAACCTTTAAAATAAAATTTGAATCAAAACAAAAGTTTTTGAGCTATATGTATTTATGTGAAAGTTGATTTAAATGATATGTTTCTTCAAGCCATAAGTATTATTTAAGTTAATATATTATTTTATAACTGGAAGTATAAATAATAAATGAATATATTAAAACAAATTTATTATTAACATATTATATCTACAATCAATATAAAAATATATAATTAAAAGAAGGGGAATTAAAAAAAATAAAGGTATGGGGAGCTTAATGATCTATGTATGAATACGCAGTTGGAACGACTGATTTCATTAGATATTCTTTGTCGAAGGTATAAACCTTCTTTTGAATAACCTGTGATTAAACGTAACCTTTGCCTTGTTTTGAATAATTTTAGGGCTTAGGGTCCAAATAATCCACAGGTGTCTGAGATTACCAGAGCGAACAAAACATTATTAAGGTGGCAATATTTATTGGTTTTTGTATTCTCCGATTTAGTGATGAAGTTGGCAGAAAAAGATCGAGCAAAACGATTTACGCATGTATAATCCCAAGCGAGAGGTAAACCTTGGTTTCAAGAGACTAGCGTCATTCCATCCGGTCTAGTTCGATAATTATATTATAAATTAAAAATTATAATAAATAAATTAATATTTTATTTTATCATCAGACATCTATATACCTATAATATTTTATAAATTACTATCTTTATTATCTGGATGTTAAACATGACTGCTATTTTCACCCTAGTTTCAAGTTGAATTGGCTTAATATTAATTAGACTGACTACAATTGGCAACTTGATAGGCTAATGGTAAAGTTAAATAAAACTATACCGAATCAGGATACCCTAGCCAGAGATCACAAGCATTTCGCTTATTTGTTTAAAAAAGACAATAAGGAATTTATGATTTTGTCAAGTGGTTATTATTGGTAGGTAGCTTCGATTTTCAAATAAGATTCAGAGCAGGTAAACAAAACCGGATATATTATCAAGACAAGACTTTGTGTTAAAGAAAACAAAAGGAGCATATAATTAATCATTTAATCAGCTTGATATATAAGAGGAAATAAATAGGGCTGTGTCGAATTTCTTTTTTTTATTACTTTATGTATATTTATTTTACAATATTTTCTAAATAATTTTTTTTTAAACAATGCAAATGCACAACACCCTTTTTATTTTATATATTTAAATAGATTTATAGTATTTAAGTTTTTTTATAAAAATAGAAAGGAACACCCAAAGTTTTATTTATTTTAAATAATAACGCCAATTTTATTTATACTATAAATAAAAGAATTTTTTTAAATATGGTATCTGAATTATGGAAATATTTTACAAAAGACAAAGATAATTTTGCAAAATGCGTTATCTGCGGAATTCTAATTTCACGGGGAGGAATAATGAAAAATTCATTTAATACTACCAATATCCGTAAACTTTTTTTAATTGATGTAGAAAAATTAAATTAAATTAAATGCATAAAAAATTTCTTAATTGATTCATAAAGGATGGTGAAAAATCAATATAAATATCGGATCGGTATCGGTTTTGAACCAATATCGGAAAATATAGGATCGGATCGGTGAATAATATGTGAAACGGCACAGCCCTAGAAATAAATAATATTATATTACGCGCTTTGAAAGAGAAACTTATTACCATAGAGGTAGTAGATAAGATATTCCTGTTGAATGAAGAAATGAAGAGAATTAGAGCATGTTTAAGCAGAGGTAAAGAATGGAAAAGCAAAGACAAGACAAGGCTTTTAAAATAATAAAAAGTGAATATAGTAGGTAATTGTTTAATGAGAAGACTTAGATTAATAATCCCTGATTCGTTGAGAAAGAAAATCAGCTGTTCACCCCAGTCATCAGGGAATAAAGAACGTAAGGCGCGAGAATTTATTTGGTAGCCAAAGATGAATTTAGAGATAGAGGAAATAGCTAAGAACTGAGAAAAGGGCCAACTTATTACCAAAAATCCAGGAAGATAAATGGCCAAAAACTATTATTACATGCCAAAGAATAGAAGTAGATTGGTTTCCCAAGTTAGTTTAAAAGGTAATTTCAGTGTTATTAAACGCTATTTTTAAAAGTAGCATGCTAGTCGCTACTTTTAAAAAAACAATACTTTAGAATTTTTTTTTAAATAATTTTTACGTATCTCTATTTCAACAAATAAAAAAATATTGGGATAAAAATATGAGTATAATTTCAAATATATATAATTTATTTATATTTTATTGCATTTCAATAATAATAATATTTCTATACTGTCATCTTAAGTCTAGAGCGACGATCAGAAAGTATAAGCTTTGCTGTCCTAAATAATCGTTCAACACTAGCACTTGAGGGCAATGCAGTATTAGATTTAATATATTTTTTTTTATATAAGAAAAATCATCAAAAATATTCATCTGATTATTTTTAGATTTAAAAATGCGTCTAGAGGATTATTAATAGTATAATTATTTATATCAAAAAATATTATCTATAGCCGGTGGCGTTTTTAATCTGGCTAGGGTATCCTTGTTTGGTATAGTATTATTAACGTTATCGTTAGTCTATCAAGTTGGCCTTTAGATTCAGTCAAAAATATATGGCGAATTCGACTTGAAACTAGGGTAAACTATGTTTAAATCCAGATAAGAATTCAATAAATTTTATCATTAGTTAGATGAACTTGATGAAATTAACATTAATTATTTAAAGTAATATCTTAAGCCAGTTGAAACATACCATGTTTGGACTGAGCCAGAAAATCAACTTTCACATAAACTCATCTAGCAAAAACTACTATAGATAAGGCTTTGATTCAAATTTTATTTTAAAGATTAAGGAGGGCAACACATTGTTAAATTTGATCAATATATTACCTTTAAATGTGTTCTCAAGTTGAAACTACAGTGTTGTTTGATGCTAAAACCTTCTGGCACATCTTACACGAAATTCATACAATTTTTTTTTATAGAGATTTAAAATATATTGCGAATTTAGGAAAAGGAAATTCAAAATTATCATCATTTTCCAGGGAAATTATTTTGTCGATATGATCTATCAAAATTATCTTTAATATCAATCTCTATTGTCGACATCTTAAATTTTTAATTATTTTGAAAACTAGATTTATAATGCAAATTTTTAAATATAAATTTCAACAATAAATTAAATTAAAAAATTATGATTTCAGAATAAATTATAAAAAATATTTTAATAATTTTTATGTGTATTTATTATCTAAGATTGTAAGTAGCGAAGTAACGTCCTTCATTTACTTTCTAAATTAGTAGCGAGCTGCCGTAATCGCCATTTTTTAAAAAATGTAGAGCGCTAAAGTTATGGCTATTGAAAAAAGTAGCGCGCTACTTTAACAACACTGAGTAATTTAAATTATTAATAGGTTAATTAATAAAAGTTCCAAATTATATAATGAATTATAATTTACATATTCTTTTTAAATTATTAATTATATTTTATATTATGCTTAACAATATATTTAACGAAATAAAATAATTTTGTATAATTATATAAAACCTTATTCGTCTTGCCATACATATTTAAGCAGAAAAAAAAAGTGTTATTAATCTTTATTTTCTATTTCCTTTTTTTTTAAATTTAATTTTATAAATTTAATATAATGATAAATAAATAAAAAATGATAATATTGATGAATTATATCCATTTTTTTAAATAATGAATCAATAATACTACATTATTTTTTTGTATATCGGCCAAAAAATGATATCGGTGCATCTCTGTTTAAAATTAACACTAACATCTAGCCATTGTAAAGCGAAATCGACTCCTAAGCTAAGCCAATCCAAATGTGGCACATTACCGTGCGTGGCATCGTGTCTCAAGTTTACCAGCCAGTCTGGGATGTCTAAAAGTTTACTTTGCTTATGGACCGGATCAACATTTATTATTTTGGTATTAATAGAAATTTTATTGGTATCAGCGACTTGGACATCGACGTCAACATTTGTGCACAGGTTATTCTTTGTGGCATCGTTCGCGCATAGCTTAAACCTTTTCACCTTAAATTGCGTATTTATATTTAAATTTATAATAGAAAATGAGTAGTTATCATATATTTCTTATAAATTCTTAAAATTGTTATTTCATTATTAATAAAGAAAATAATTTATAAAAAATATCGACATTCGATATAAAAACAAAATATGCAAAAAAATTAAAAAGCAACTCACGACTCTAGTCCGCCTCAAACCAATAGAAGGTGGTGGTTAATGTAAAAATTTGTATATTTTTAAAAATCTCTTTAATAATAAAATTTTTGAAAGGGATTATTAAGAGTATAAAATTTATCCAGGCTTGCAAAAATTTAACAATTTGTCGGACCGTTGCTAAGTTTTTTTTATTATATATATTAAAATATATTGGATAAACGACTTTTTAATTATGATAGAATGTCTAACCATATTTAAAATAGGATGAAAAAAAATGATATTACAGTGGAAAGAATAATTTTATGTATTATTCCTCTAAGGTAAATTTAAAAAAAATAAATAAGTAGTTATGTCGATAGGCTAAATTTATTAGAAAGTTTATAATTTCGCAGAAATTAATTCGTGTTCTGTATTCACAGACGAAATTAAGTTGGGCTTCAATTAGGTCTAATAATTAATTGCGTGGCTAGTTCAGGAAAATCCATTTTTAACTTAAAGATAAAAAATCTTTAATATATAGCATTAAGATATTAACGTTTAACGTTGTCAAAATTCCAACTCCTGGTGTAGACGGCTAATGATAATGCGCACCAAACCATTTGCTAAACAACGACAAAATTTTGTCAAAATATAATAACTCATTTATTTTCTAAACGGAATCACGAGTCTGATCTACTATGTATCATCTACAAAATATAGAACCACCAAGTTTGGCTTCAGGAAAAAACATGACCCTTACTGTATTCGAACCCAGGTCTATCGAATTTATGATCAACGCACTCACCGACTAGGCTACAGGCAATATATTAAAGCATCTATTTTTTTCATTATTTATATAAGAATAAACATGTTTCTGACGTGCTTTGTATTAGCCGGAGTAGACATGGAGGGGGGGGGGGTGAGATTTTTTTATATAAATTTAATAATATAATTTATATTGTTAAATATATAAAGTGAAAAGAACAAGCAACATCTATAAAGATTATAGTAATTCAAAAACTTTAATGTATTTAGACGTAATTGATTTTTGAATCGTAATTTAAAATTCGATATTTAAGATAGGCGTGCCGTAGTTTTAATTTCGCTTATAACTTGCTTTTAATGGTTAGGAAAATTGATTGAAGAATTAGTAGGTGCTAATTGCCTTACATATTTTTCATTGTTTCTATATTTTTCCTTCTAACATGATGACAATCGTGGCAATTTATTGTTGCCAATAATGTTTTTCTGAATTATCTACCAAACAGGTTGAAGTCCTAAAAAGTATGAAATACCACTAATTATTGACATAAATATCAAAGATAATGCTTCTATATCTTCGGATGATTTTACGCTTAACCCTACATTCACAGTTAGTTTTTTTTATATTTTCATTCTAGCATAATGCCAATATTTTTCTTTCTACAGTAAACGGATTAAATTAATTTACAATTGAGCACTAAACATTGATAAAATCAGAATAATGCTTTCAATCTCTCCCAAAATCTTACCTTCAGCCTCATCGTGGCGGGGGAGTGGCAACGTCTTTTGGCGGCTAATGGAGGTCTAAAAGGTTCCCTGTGATCTGGGTCTAGAATAGGATCACCGTCTCCTCGACGGGGTGTAAAAACCACTTAGAGGTTGATGTCAGGAAGGGCATCCGATTGTAAAAACCTTGCTATAAAATTTCCCTATGGTTACAACAAAGCATGGGCGGGGTACAGCCCAAAGTACCTCGTGGGCCTCCTCATCCGCCTACGACAAAAAGTAGGATGGGAAACCTGGTGGAACCACTATTCATGAAAATGAAACTTATGACGGCCATAAACGACCTGATAAAAAGTGGAGAAACCAGTTTACGGGTAATCGAGTTAGGGTCGCGACATGGAATGTTGGGAGTATGACGGGAAGAGCGAGAGAAGTCGTCGATGTATTGCACAGAAGACATATAGATGTGTGCTGCATACAGGAGACTAGATGGAAAAGAAATGGGACCAGAATGATTGGCAAGACTAACGAAAAGTATAAATTCTTTTGGCAAGGAGGTAATGATGGTAAGGCTGGAGTTGGGGTATTGGTTGCGGAGAAATTGGTAGACAAAGTAGTAGAAGTGAGAAGGCTAGACAACCAGATAATGGTTATCAAGATGATTTTTGGTAGAAAGCTATATAATATTATCTCGGCATATGTTCCTCAGGTTGGAAGAAGTGAAGAAGAGAAAGATATATTTTGAGACAGTCTATTGGGGGTGACATCGAGACTGGCAAACGAAGAGGGGATTATTCTGGCTGGTGATCTGAATGGACATGTGGGAGCGAGTAGTGAGGGTTATGAAGGAGTACATGGAGGGTTCAGTTACGGCATGAGAAATTTGGAAGGAGAGAGGATTTTAGTGATGCTATGGATATGATTGTCTGTAATACAATGTTTAAGAAAGAATCAGAGAAGCTGGTGACTTATAAGTCGGGTAGTACCAAAAGTGCAGTGGATTACCTATTAAGGAGATGTGATCAATGTATAGTAAAAAATGTGAAAGTGATACCGGGAGAGGAATGTATAAATCAGCATCGACTAGTTGTAGGAGATCTCACTCTTAAAGGTGCCAGGGTCACTAAAAGAAAGTTTGTCCCAAGGCTGAAGGTTTGGAAATTAAAGGAGGAGAGTGCTAGATGTCAATTCAATATAGCATTAGCGATTAGGGAGGAGGAGGTGGCGTGAATGACAAGTGGGAAGCCATGAAGAAAGCCTGGGTAATGACAACTGAGGAGGTATGTGGATGGACAAAAGGGCCGCCTAGACATAAGGAGACTTGGTGGTGGAACCCGGAGGTAGCGAAAGCCGTGGATGAGAAACGGAGGTGTTTCAAAGTATGGTATAATAGCAAAGAAAATAGTGATAATGATATTTACAAGATGGCTAAAAGAAATGCTAAGAAATTAATAGCGAAGGCTCAAGAAGAAAAAAGACACGAGTTTGCTAAAGAAATGGAATGCGCTGATGGAATTGGAAATATGGTTCGAATGGCAAAACAGATGTCAAAAAGAAGCAGGATGTGATAGGTGTAAAGTGTTTGAAAAATATGAAAGGAAAAATGGCGATTGATGGTAGTGGTATTAAGAACACCTGGAAGATTTACATGAAAGGACTTTTGAATGAAGAAAATGAATGGGATAATAATATTAGTTGTGCAAAGGTAGAAGGTCCAGGGTGTAAATTTGGCAAGGACGAGATAAAGAGAGCAGTGAAAAAGATGAAGAGGCATCGGGTTTAACGATGGTGGTATCAGAGATGTTTAAAGGTTCTGATGATTTAGGGATTGAATGGTTAATGAATTTAGCAAATCAAATTGTCACAGAAGGTACTATTCCCGAGAACTGGCGAAGAAGTATAATTATCCCAGTATACAAGGGGAAAGGTGATCCTTTAGATTGCGGGTCTTACAGAGCTATTAAACTCTTGGAACATGCAATGAAAGTATTTGAGAGAGTGTTAGAGAAGCGTTAAAGGGAATAAATTAAAATTGATGAAATGCAGTTTGGTTTTACATCGGGAAAAGGCACGACAGATGCAATTTTTGTGGTGAGACAAATTCAGGAGAAGTATCTTGCGAAGGAAAAGAAACTCTATTATGCGTTTGTTGATTTGGAGAAAGCATTTGATAGGGTGCCGCGTGAGATTACTAGATGGGCCTTGAGAAAATCAGGTGTGGAGGAATGGTTGGTTACCGCAGTGATGGCAATGTATGTTGGAGCACAAACAGCAGTACGGACGGATTATGGTGATAGTGACAGCTTTGAGGTGAAGGTAGGACTCCATCAAGGATCCGTGCTGAGTCATTATTATTTATCTTAGTAATGGATGTGGTGGCTAGAGAAATGCGTGAAGGACTTCCATGGGAGATATTATATGCAGATGATCTTGTATTAATGGCAAACAGTGAGGGAGAATTGAGGGATAAAATTAGTAAATGGAAGATGACTATGGAAACAAAGGGCCTGAAAATGAATGCATCAAAAACAAAGGTGATGATTGGTGGGGAAAATCTAAAGATGGAGGAATCCGGTAAGTGGCCTTGTGGTGTATGTGGGAAAGGAGTTGCTAGAAATTCAATCCAATGCACCAGATGCCAGAAATGGGTACATAAAAGATGTAGCGGGAAAAAAGGCAGTTTGATGTTAGAAAGAATGACCTTTATTTGTAGAACATGCATGAAAGGGATACATAATAATGATAACCTAAAAAATGGTGGTCTGGATATTGGCAATGGGTTAACCCTAGAAAAAGTGGATAAGTTTTGTTATTTAGGTGATATGCTAAACGCAGATTATGGTGTAGATTCTGCCGTTGTTGCAAGGATCAGACAAGCTTGGAAAAACTTCAGAGAGATGTCGTCTATTCTTACAAATAAAAAGGTTTCTCTGAAGTTAAAGGATAAAGTTTACGTAAGATGTGTGCGAAGTTGTTTAGTTTATGGCGATGAAACATGGGCAATGAAAGCGACTCAAGAAGCCAAATTAGAAAGAACAGATATGAGGATGGTTAGATGGATGTGTGGGGTATCTCTGAGAGAGAGAAAAACTAGCAAGGAATTGCGAGCAAGATTAGGTATAGAAATGATTGGTATGGTAATGCGACGAAATAGACTAAGATGGTTTGGGCATGTGGAACATATGACAAGAGATGACTGGGTAAAGAGATGCACAATGATGGAAGTAGGAGGATCAAGACCTAGAGGAAGACCCAAGATGACGTGGACAAATGTGATAGCGGCGGATATGAGAAGCATGAATCTTACAAGTAATGATGCTCAGGACCGTCAAAAATGAAAAAAAAAATCAGAGGGAAAACTGGCCTACCCGCATAAACCTGGAAATCGCTATAAAACGGAGAAGAAGAAGAATGCTTTCAATCACTTTTTAATCGTAAGATTGGCCAAAAATTTGTTACTAATAATATTTTCATTGGTTAAATTTTGACACTAATAAAGCATAAAACATTGACATATTTTAGAATTAGTACTTCCAATTGTTCAGCCAACTTCAACGGAGATAATTAAAGATAACCAAGGAGAAATCAATAATATATAATATTTTTTTATAAGAAGCTTATCGAGAATGGTCAACTTAAATATATGACAACCAGATGATGTGGAAAACGAGTCAAAATAACAACGACGGAGAAAATGAAAAAACCCAGATCATATTAATAGCTAAAACGGACAGACTAGCGGAACAAACTGCTACCCAATTTAGAGGGAAACGGACGTCATAAGCAGATGTATGAAAGCCATGATAACCTCAACTGCTGTAAATACCGATATGAATCTCGACTCACACGATAGCTTCCCAATACCATCTAGCATCCCAATTTAGGGAGCAGATGGAGGTAATTAATAGAAGAATTGACGACTAAACTTATGTCGGAACACTAAATATTATCAACCTAACAACCCAGAGCTTAATAATCCCAAACACCCCCAGGAGGAAGTACGAATTCCAATCACAATCCACCCCATTTAGAAATACACAGAGGGCCAGTAGCCAGACTTAAAACCCTCCTGAAGATTAAATCAATAGTGAAGCATAGCAATATAAAAACTAAATGCGTTCGACATCAATTCGGGGGAGGATAAAATGCAAAAAACTAAAGCAGTAATGCACTATGCAAATATATATAAGCAATGAAAATTCCAGGACATGCACAGCCCATGAGACAAAGGCGACTGGTGATATATCAGAGAATCTAGGGATATCTGTACTCACATATGTGAGAGCCACAGCTAACAAAACTGAAATGTCTATATTTTGCTGGGATACGGTGTATTCAAGCATACATTAAGATAAGTTCAATTTCTCAAGCCAGAGCTTAGCCCCCATCGAAGTAGAAGGAGACGGACCTGGGGCCTTCTATCATCGTCCAATACTAGCACCGCCTCTCTCAGACATAATCCGCATCCTAATTTTACCATAGGACAATCAACCCAATATAATACACAATTTATATCTACAAACCCCTATCGAAATGATAACTATCATGGGGATAGTACCTACGATACGAATCGCAGATATAATTGCTAGCTTTCCTATGTTAAACCACCTTTCCTTTAGCGGAAATAGATAAAGAAAATGAAAAGGTTTTAGGAAAATTTATTAGGGAAATTAGACGCAACAAAATTTCCCCCGACATTCCCACCCTCAACTCCCCCTAAACACCATTCTACATTCAATGTTTGTCACATAATATGGATATAGATGGAAGACCCACCCCCGCTCCAGGATTCGAATGAGCAAGAGCTGTAGTAGAACAAATGGATAGCGGGCAAGATCCAATCCTGGTGACCAGCATCCTTCCAGTTAGAAACTAATCACATGACAGAAACCCCGACATAGGCAGACGGGAATATAAATTGGCAAATTCTATATATTATTAAGGAGAATCGGAGCAGACAATATAGATAATTCCATCGTTAATTGAATCTAAATATCTCCATCTTCTCCCTATAATGTGACACGATGAGAAGCTGTGGTGCTTCCTACCGGTGTAGGCTCTCCTAATGTTGAGTCGTTATCGGTATTTACCGTTGAGGTTGCCATGGCGTCCATCTTTCTGTTAATGACGTCCATTTGTTCTCAAACCTGAGTAGCAATTTGTACCGCTAAATATGATCTAGTTTGTTTCATTTTCTCCGCCGTTGGTATTTTGGATCTTGTTTACCATGTCATCTGGTGGGCTTATATTTGAATTGACTCCCAATAAGCTTTTTAAGGAATTTTGAAAATGTTAATATCGTAGTGCTTTATATTAAATATTTTTATCTTTAGTTAAATTCCTAAAGTGAAAATATTTCCGCAATTAATCCCTACATAAACTGGTATTATCGGGAATAATATAAAATTAAGAATTATTTTTGGTATATTGTTCAGTGCGTTTTTTTTTAATTTTAAAAATCTGATTTTACCGGAAATGTATTTCAGTATTTATAATACATAACCTGTTAAATTAAACAATTATGCTATCGGTTAGCGATGAATTAAGATATCGGTTACCGATGAATTATGCATCGCTTGAGTGATGTCACGGGTTTTTGGCGGTTACAAAAAATAAAATCTTAGTCACTGTGTTATCTTAGAAGATCAGAGTTTTGACAGTATATAAATTAAAAATACTTACCCTATGAATTTCAGACAATCTTGAGTCATTTAATAATTTATATAAAAATATCTATGTAAAAACTAATATAAATTTTATTAAGTTCAAAAATTCTTAGGAAAATATTCCAAAAAATCACATAGTAGATTTTCTACAAATGGTGGAATACATTTCCAGTTAATTTTTTAAATTTAAACAACGTGCCCAAAAATTAATTTAATGCTAAAAATCCGGGTCTATGAAGCACAGCACTTTCCTAAACTCCTAAGACTTATACAATAAAACATGTGATCATTTTTTTAAACTCTTGTTTAATATATTGAGTAAGTGGCATAATTAACATCATCCTTTCAAAAAATTAAGACTATAATGTAACAATTAGATTTGAGTAACTGTAGCAAATTACGTTTGAAAAATTAAATGTAACTAGTTAAAGTAACTTTAACAAAACTAGATAAGGTATATTTATCTAGATATATAATAATATTTATTAGATTGTTTAAAAATATATGATAAATTAACTGTTTTATGCAATTCTTCACTAGATTCAATAGTTGAGCTTTGGTGGATTAGGCTATTATTTTGTTGAAACAAATTTCTCTTGTTTTCATTATAACTTTCAATGACTAGGTTAACAAACCTGTAAAATATATATATCTCTCAAATTACATAAAAATGCTATTTAAAACTAACCATTTAAAAATATTTTAAATATAATAATCTGAGGTGCACTTGACTTTCTATGGCGGATGCCAATACTGGACTAATACCCTGGTTTGCCAGACTTATGTCGTAATCTCGATTTTTAAAACTTGTTAAAGCCTAAATAAGCTGTCAATATATTTTTTTTCCCAAAATACTTAAAATTAAATTTACCAGGCCCAAAAATTTAACATTGCCATTTTTATTTTATGATAATCATATATTTTGTAAAGTGTCTATTTTTTAATATATTGCTCCTTACTGGGGACTAGTGATGTTAAGGTAACTAGTTACAATTTTTTTTAATTTTATTTGCCACATCTATATATCTTTTTAAATTTTAATAATCCATTTTCATTTTTGTAAATATTTTTAAATAATTTAATTTTCAAATCGAATCAACTCGAAAGAAAATACGAATCGAAAATACGTAATGCAAATATAAAATTCGATTCGCATTTTTGTAGGTATAGACGTGCGTATCAAGTAATAGAAATATTCTCAATAATCTTTCACTATAAAATGTAATCATCTTTTGTGTTGATAAACGCGAATGCGAATTTCGGAAAAAAAAACAAAGTGTAAAAAAATAGAATTATTAAATAAATATATTATCCCCATCGTTTTGTCATAAAATTGACAATGCAGGGAAAATAAGGCATGTTCAATTATCTACAGGTGTAGAAATAAAACTGTTGTTATGAATTGCTATGCCGAATTGAGCTGATCCACAAATAGGGTAGTAGTTTAATAAAAATAAATTATGGGCCCGCTAAATCAATGCAGAACTTAAACGAAGTAATGAAACAAGTTAGTTATCATTGATATATAAGTCTCAAAAGACTAAAAATTACATACGTTTTTTAAATCTTTTTTTTATCCCAAAATCGAGGTCTATTTATGCTTTTAGGATGATTTTAAATGACAATTTTAAAAAATTTCAGTTACGATGTTCAATAAATAAATTATAACTTTAAACCCAAGCCATAAATTTTTAAGTTGTACATTTTCTTATTAAAAAATTACATCATCTCAAACTGAGGCTAATAAATTCCTTAAATACCAGAGATGCCCCAAAACAAGTTGATCGGTATCAGACTAAATCCCGCAGTGTCGGCCAATATTTTTTATTTTTGGCTGATAACATGGCCAGATGCCAGATTATATCTGTAATTAATATATTTTTTATCGCATTTTCTTAAGTAAATTTGACTAATTATAAATCGTAAAAATCTTTTATATAAGAAAAAAAAATTATATTAGAATAATAATTTACATATAAATAATTCGTAAAGTAATTGCAATGTAACTAGTTATTATTGGTTTATCTTTTTGTTCTTTAGAATGTAACATGTAATTGTAATCATATCCTAATAATATTTCGCTGATCCAGTTAATCTATTTTTGTAAGTGGGAGGGGGGTGGGGGATTTCCCTTTATTTTTACGTAAAGTTCTTGTGTGAGTTGTAGGTCACATACAAGTTTCTTAGATAAAGGAACAGTGGTAATCAGGTCCTCCAACGTTATATTATTTTTAAAAATTCAAAAATAAAAAATTGTCGCTTAGTGGATCTTCATTCGTTTTGGCTCCCTTACTTAAGTAGCATAGCCCTCGTATTAAGCAATTGCAAAGCATTAGCTTTCATACTTAACGGCATTGGGTACTTACATACGGAATAGGCCTCTTCCACGAAAGCCAAAAAGATGCTCATCAATTGTTACATATGTGATTTATAGTATTTATTGCAGTAGAGGTCGACATTGCCCGGTTTGGATAGTGGAAATTTTCTATGGGATTTTTCGGCCTGGCCAATAATTTTAATCCAGCCTGTAATTTTGTATAAATGTTATCCGAGAATCCTCTTTCGGGCTTTCAGGCCCCGCACTACACCGACCTCTATATTGCAGTTTAGAATTATCGATCCATATTTCTGCTTGGGAAAAATGGATTAGGGTTGGGCAGTAGTTAATTGCATTTACGATATAATCACACAAAATAAATTTGGTAGTTGCAGCAATGACATATAACAGGAAAGACCGGGGCTATTTAATACATGGGGTAATTCCGAACAGCCTTCAATAGGTTTATATATTATGATAAATTTGTAAAAAAAAAAATAAGCTTTGGACTTTGAAAATTTTTTTTAAAAAAGTTTGCTAGATTCTTGTTTAAAATATATTTAATTAAATTCTACACATTAAAATATATTATGACCAACTTTGAATTCTTAATAAATATAAAATAAGATTTCATAAATTTTGAACAGGGATTTATTTATATGATAACGATCGCATTTAAGAAGATTCTTCCTCTGCCGTACAAATGGTAGAGACTAAATTTTATAATCATTCATATATTTTTTCATTTTTGTGCAATATTTTTTTTTATCTTATTTAAATTAGAATGAGACATTATGTAAAGAAAAATAATAATAGTTTGCAATATCAGATAACAAAATTTTAAAATGTACGAGAACAAACTATCTATTATAACCAAGTCAGGCATTATGTTAATTATTAAATCAACAATTTAACATTACTTATCTAAATCTAAAAGATGCTGGACTCCCTGGTTTACTTATAATACCCTCTACAGACAAAAAAGGTTTTAACAAACAGTCAGGAAGAATTTTTGAGAGAAATATATTGAAGCTGCAAAATTATATTTATGTTTCTCTCCTAAAAGGGTTTACTTTTCTAAACAAATCAATTATAATGCTTTCGTGACAATTTTAGCTCTGCTTAATATCACTATTTTATTCCCCATTATAAATATAAGAAGCTTTTAATGTATATAATTTTTTATATTGAATTATAAATTTATTAAGTAAATTTGTCATAACATATTTAAGTTTTAGAATCTAAAAGAAATTGATCTGTATGCCCTATCTTATTCTAAACTGCTATAACTATTATTACCAGGATTAGATGTATAAGCAGTTTCTTATATTTTGTGAAGCCTATTTTGAATGTATGTTACAAAGATGAATAAAGTTGGTAATGTTTTGGAAGTCCATTAAGTGATATTTTATTAAAAACTCTAATAACACCAATAGATGAAACTCAACATAATATACCGACGATTAATTGTTTACTATTCCATTTCTAATGAGCCTCAATGTGATCCTTATCTAATGACATTTGTGGAAATTTACATAAAAAATAAGAAAACTTCCTCAAAAACGCCTACTTACAAGAACAGAGAAACTGGATTAGCAAGCCCATAAAAATGATTAACATGCAAGACTAAACTGAATATGATAATTTTCCTGTCATCCTCCCATTAATATCCAAACTTATCAAAAATTTTAAACCTATTGTTGAAATGTATAATTCTACTAAAGGTGGAGCAGACACATAATCAAATGTTTAGCATGATCCCGTTCAAAGAAAAAATAGAACCATTATGCATTTTTTATTGGATTAAATTTTGTGAGTACTTGCTACAAGCAATTGTATGAAGAAGCCCTTATTGAGACAAAATTTTATGATAGATTATCATTGTGTCAATATTAAATGTCGGATTGGATCGGAACTGATATATTTTAAAAAATATCGGATCAGACCGAAAAACCCGATCCGATATTTTTTTATTGTTTTCGGTTATTTTATGATTATTTATAAAATAATTTCCTAATAATAAATTAGTGAAAGGATCTAAAATACAATTTATTTTTGTAATGTTTAAAAAAATAGTTTAAAATTTTACATTATTTTTGTTATATCATCTGTAACAAGAAGATTTTAAAATATCTAAGAAGTCACATTCAGCTACTGCTGCTAAACGTTCGATTTAGCTAATTTTTTAAAACGGTTAATTCAAGATTTTGGCCAAACGAAAATTCCTCTGCTTATTTATTATTCCCATATATGGCAGAAAGGTTTGAACTTTTGATTTCCAGGTTTAGGTATTTTGACTAAAATCTTAACCATTTTTAAAAATCGGCTATGTGGAGCTGTTTAACAACACTACACATTCACCCATAAACATATTACAAATATTTTAATGAGATTATTAACTTTTGGAGAATAAAAAAAACAAAATATAATCTCGTGAAAGTTGGTTGATTTTTAAAATATTGATATTTTTATGACATTGGTTCAAGGATAAATGATAAATAAAAATCAATATAAATATATAGGTATTATCAGAATTGGATCGGGTTTTAAGTAATTGGAAAATATCGGATCGGATCTGTGAAAAATTTGTGGATCGACACGATCTCTATAAATATCTGGTTAAACCATATTAGAAAAAATGTCACAACTAAAATACCCTGTAAAATAAAGTATCCAAAATATTCTAAATTGGAAATGAATCGAGTGTCATTCCATGTCAAATGAGCAAAAAAATCAATGTAGACTGGTTATATATGTTTCCATTAGATTATAAACAAAATTTTAGCGCATTAGCAACTATATTAGCGGAGATAATCGGGGTTAAAGGTCCAAAAACGCCTTTTTTTCCTTTTTACTGATGTTAAATAATTAGTTTTTAATTTAAAACTAAATATGATCAAATATTAAAATTAATATCAATAGCTAAGTTAATAATTGATAATTATGGCGAAAACATCAAAATTATTTTTTTTATAAATATGGGTCATCTTATGGTCAGTTGAAAACTTGAAATTAATATTTCTAAATGTATATGATCTCCAATTTTTAATTTTTTTAAGAAATATTATCCGTTTACTATTTTTTTAATAATTTCTTCAACAATTAGCATGGCTGGATATTTATTTAAAAAAATATTGCGATTTTTATACTTTAAAAAAATAGATGGCGCTATATATAATAGTTTTAATATGTTAAAATTCATTTTTTTTAGTTTAAAAATATTTTAATGTATAATATATCATAAAATTCGATTATATAACTTTGTAAACCTTATTTCCCTGAGATATTCGCAGGATAAAAAATTTTAATAATTTTTTT